TGGTACCTGATTGTGTTAGTGGACCACACTATTGGTACCTGATTGTGTTAGTGGACCACACTATTGGTACCTGATTGTGTTAGTGGATCACACTATTGGTACCTGATTGTGTTAGTGGACCACACTACTGGTACCTGATTGTGAACAAACCGTGTAAAAGCCGTGTAGAAGCAACCTGCCTTTTTATTTAAACCACACAGTAAAAAAGTAAATCAGAAATATGGTTTGTCACTTAAATATAAAGTAAAGTCACCAAAATAGTGCGAAAAACGGAATAATTACCATTAATGTAAACCGATCGTGTCGATTTCCCAATTTTCAAAAGCTACATTATACCTCCACACCCGATCGTTTTGGCTGCCATCACAGAACCGCGAAAATCAGTGAAAAATAAAGCAGACATGTGGAGCTAGAATTTTCCTGAAATATTTGTCTCGGCTATATATTTACATCTTGATTGAATCTCACATTGAAATCTGCAATTATAAATTATTTTAACATAAACCACTTTATATCAAAGCATAACTGCATTGATATAAAAACATTTTTTGCTGTTATATCACACATCAAAACTTCGAAAAAATCTTTAATTTGGCGGACTTGGAGGAGCGAAGGCGGGGAAAGCAGACGCCGCTACAGTTTACAGAAAACAGGTGCTGAAACGATGGAAACCAATGCAGCTGTCGTATACGGATAGTTTCCGAGTGTGCAAAATGTCGCACAATTATTGGCGACAAATCCTGTTGGCTTGGAGTAGACATGGATCTTTGTGCAATGTAACTGAACCGTAAGTTAACTTCACAACATACATGTATCTCCATCATTCTTCACTCATTTTGTATTTTTGTCGCCGAGCAAGTGTTTGATATTTCATTTAATTATTCATAACAATTACTTACATAAAAGCTTCTTCACCATGTTATAACTTGTGGTTTTATTCGCCCAACAGTGCATATAAGTGTATAGTACGTACTTCAACTTTTTAGTAGTACTGTATGAAAAACGACAAAATTGAGAGTTCATTCCAGTTGAAACTATCGGTTTTCGTATATCGGTCCAACTCCGCGAGGACTCGCTGAATGCAATCGGTTTAACAGGAAAATATTCCTCTTCTTGATTTTGAGCAATACTTTTTATGGAAATGAGCCCTAAAAAAAATTTCTGTTTTCACTGGCTAGTAACAGAAGGGGATTGAACTCCCAAGATGGAATCAAAGTGCGTTGATAATTCTATAGATTTGGTCTCTTTTCATGTACAGTACACTCAGGGAATGACATCAGCAAACTGACGAAACAAAAAATCTACTTAAGCTCATTCCAAAATTTAAAAACAGGGGAAGGAGGGATCACACATTTTTCATATGTGTGGTGGTGGGGGTGGATTCCAAATAAATAATTTTAAATTGTGTGTGTGTGTGTGGGGGGGGGGGGGGGGGTAGTAAAGAAACTCAATTGCCCCAATCAAAATTCATATCTTTTTAAACAGTGCTAGTTACTTTAAGCTCAGGCCGACCAAATTGTCAGTGTCTGGAACACTGCATCTTTCAGTTATATCAAGCCACAATGTGCACATTGTCATTTGCCCAATATATGAAAGTACTCATAAGGCTTATAGACATTATATTTAAGGTTACCAGGTCAGTACTTAGAATTAAGAGCCAAGTTCTGCCAGCATCAGGTCGTTGGGCATGGACATCTTCACTCCTACCTG